GCCATTTCTCGGAATTTAATATTCAGGTTTCAAAATAACATTCTCTACATTTGATGTTAGAAAAGGCAAAAAAACCACAATTTTCTATAATACCTTTGTTAGAGGAATTTTGCTTTTTAAAAGTTAGTGCAACTGAACGACACCTTTAGAACATCAACTTACCATCCCAATGGGGTATCCACAATATTTGAAACTTGATCATAACCTTGTATTGCAGCCATGTGGACAATATGGTTGCCATTTTTGCTAACAAATTGGAAAGAGACATCATGGTTTTACCAATAATTGCATTTAATAGACTTTGAATCAAGGGAATCGATCAAGAATTTGCAGTGGCTCTCAAAAACAAAATGATCCAAACCCTTGTTAACAGCAAGTTCAAGACATTTCTTTGACAATGGTTCCTTTTACAAGCATGATGAGCTGAGATTACAATTACATTGCATGCTCATCATTTTCTTGTTACAAAATTACCTTCATGATTTATGAAAAAGAGGCATTTTTCTATGTTCAAAATGCCTCCATTAGTATTTGCCCATGCTCTTCCGTTTTTTTTTACATCAAGAACCACCAACATATCCATTAGGCTGCGTTTGGTAGAGGTGTAAAATCAAACCGGGGTGAACTTTACACCCCGGTTCGATTTTGTAGACATTTGATAATTTCAGTGTAAAATTACATGTTTACCGTTTACTTATCTCTCTCTCTCTCTCTCTCTTCTCCTTCTCTCTTCTTCTTCTCCTTCTCTCTCTCTTTCTCGCTCTCTCTCTCTCTCTTCTCCTTCTCTCTTCTTCTTCTTCTTCTCCTTCTCTATCGCTCGCTCTCTCTCTCTCTCTCTTCCCTGCATCATTCCACCTTGTCTTTTCCAGCCATCTCTGCTCCACCTTGTCTATGCCCTGCATCATTCCACCGCATTTGTTGGGTAGGAACTAGGAAGGAGGAGGTCAGGGACCAAGACTCGACATGTAGTCAGCAATGGTGGGCTATGAACATCCAGCAATTCCAAAGGAAACAGGCCTACAAGCCCAAAGCACTACAATTAAGCTCCACTTCGAGAAAACCTTGGAGGAGAAGCGGGTTGTCGATCTCGAAAAGAAGAAACTTTGGAAGCTCTTCTAGTTCTTCTTCCTCTTCCTAGGCCTGGTCTTCATTGCCCTGGTCCAGTCGCCCGGGCTATAGTGTCCCCACTGTTGGGTCCCCATCAACTCACCATGGCCCATCTCATCTTCTACATCTTGGTGGCTCAGACTCTCCGCTGCATCAATGGACTCAAGTACCAGCGGAGGTGCCACAAGCTAACGCTACGGCTAGCGACAGAGAGGTTGAAACAGATCAAGATGAGGAGGAACAACGGGCTGGCAGATGAGACAGACAACTTCGAGATTCAATTCCAACAGCCTCCCCTGAGCTATTTTGGTAAGCTCAAGAGGAACTGGACCATGCATATCGGATTCTTGATCCTGGTATACGTCTTCATGGTCTTTTCCTCAGTTGTTCTTCCCTATTCCTAATCTATAAAATCTACTTTCTTCATATGTGTTCTACATTGTCCTGGAATTGAATGCCTTCGCGTAGATCTCCCTCCGTGACTGCAGCATCATGCACATTGGTCATCAATTTTCAACTCAGGTGAGGCAGCGTGATTCAAATTCCACAGGTCGGTTTGTCGAATTCAAACATGGTACCGGAACTAATCATTGGTGAGGTAGCTCTTCCTAGCTGCCATAGTGAAAATTTTGCAAGAGCTAATATGGTGGCTCTGTCTTTTTGCCCTTTCTCTCTTCTAAGCCTCTGACAATTTCTCCCTTTTCTCTATGCTCTTGGTTTTGCTAATTTGCTCTGCTTTTATAAATGGTGTAAATGGATAAGGTTGTCCCTTGACTCCCTTCCGCCCTTCTCTCTCTCTCTCTCTCTCTCATAAATCTCCCGCTACAACAAGATGTAACCAAACAGGACGAGTGTAAATGGGCACAATGGCTGGTCCATATTTTACACTCTCACCGAACCATTGTGTCTTAACTTCATCAGTGTAAAAGTGCATTTACACCAGAAACAAATGCAGCCTTAGTGAATAGGAAAAACCACATTATATACCCTTTGGAATTTGACTAGTAAACCATGATCCATGGGAGGAGTGGAAATTCATCATGATTTAAGGGTGAAATTTTTTAAATTCCAACCATACAAGTCTCAAGGGCCATTTGATACCAACCGAAGTGGTTGAATAAATGTTTTTTTTTTCTTTACTAAGAGAGTTGAATTGGATGACTTATTACATTGTCTTTTTGGTTGTGTTCTATTTAAAAGAAAAAGGTAAGGCAAGTTTCCTACCTTTTCTTTCAAACCAAGCACAACCTTAGTGAAAAGCTATTAGGGATTAAGGAGGTTGTGAGATCCTCAAAAATTGAAGTTTAAGTTGGATTGATTATTATACTTATTTGTATTTGTACTCTTTCTAAATTGAGCCTAAATGTTTCATTATTTCTCCCACTAGAAGACAACACAATAAATCATGTAGGTAGGCCACATGGCTAACCTTTAGTTGATCTAATACTTAACTTCTTTTCTTTGAGGTTAATTGAACTTCTTTATCTCCCTTTCACATTGAATTGGAAATCCATGCCCCACCCTATATTGACATAACATTCTTTTTTGCACCAATTTGTGAATGAAGTAATTTTCCTCATTGATGATGTTATTTACATTCTCACCAAAGAGATCTCATCATTGTATTTATTTCTTTTACCAAAATAAGTTTATATTTTTAGTTCATGCAATGATGTTTTTGTCTTTTCACATAAGATGTGTTGACATCCACACCACACATCTATAAAAGCATCAATGATAATAGATTTCTAGTTTTATTGCTTTTTTAATAGGTAATTCAGGTTGGTCAGATGGAGATAACTACATCCCGAAGGCCAAAAACTTGGAAAAAAGACAAAAAATCCTAATATCCCCAAAACATTGTGAAGGTGGGATTCAATCCCACTTAGGGATCTAAATGAGTTTGGTTTGACACGAGTTTGCCTTCACCCTAACCCAACCTTCTTATGTTCACATCCAAGGTTTAAAATTTCGATATAATACGCTCGATATGGGGCATATTGTATCGTATCTTTGAAAAAAATATACGAGATACACATGAAAACTAGGTGTCTCGTCTTTTTTCATGCATATCAACCGATACACTACGAAAAAGATATGGCCAAAAACTGAAAAAAAATAAAATAAAAAATAAAAAGGGGAAATCAAGCTATTTTTCCCTGAAATAAGCCCCCTAAATGACTCTAAAACTCCAAACCTCATTCCTAGAGTGCTAGATTTGCAAAAATTTATAAGAAACAAGTGTCATTCGTTAATTTTTTATGGCAACAATAGGTAAGTTTTTAATATTTTTTTATAATATCTTGTGATTCTTTTTTTCCTGAATGTTTAAATTTATGTTCATCTACATTTCTTACATTCAAAATCACAATTTTTTTTGTCATCAGTAGATCTATGGAAATTTCATGAAGATATTTGGGGAAAATATAAATTAACAAAAAAATTGAAAATGTAATTTTTTATCAACCTATAAAGACTTAATATGTTTTAGATCTATGAATTTATCTATCATATCCATAGAGAAATTGAAATTTCTTCTTTAATATTTTTTTATTTTTCATATTTTTAGAATTAAATATAAATAATAATTAATTATATTTTATCATTTGATCAAAACAATTGAATATATTATAATTCTATGGATGATATATCACATCCACAAACCAATTAAAAATTCTTATTTAATTTTTTTTATATTTTTAGAATTAAAAATAAATAATAATTAAGTATATTTTATCATTTAATCACAATGATTGAATATATTATAATTCCTTGGATGATCTATCATATCCACAAAGCAATTAAATTTTCTTCTTTAATAAATTCCTTGGATGATCTATCATGTTTTATGGTTGGATAGGAGAGTTAGGTTTTTTCCCATCCCATAAAACATTAAAACTTAAGAATTATAATTTATAAATTATAGTTAAGCATAAGACTTTTAATGAAATTATAATTCACTACAATATATTTATTTGTAAAACCATTAAAATATATTAATTTAAGGTATATACACCTCATTGAGGTTTTATATTTAGTCTTATTGAAGTATTTTTATGATTTACTAAAGTATTTATAGTGTTTCCAAGTGTATGTATGTGTATCTTAGTTTTTCTCCAATATGCATGCATATCCAAGGCGCATCCCAATATGTATCTTAAAATTGACTTTCTAATACACTTGGCGTTTTCGATACTTTGAACCTTGTTTACACCTTGTCAGCACCCAATTTTTGCTTGGTCCATTGCCTGAGCCTCCAATTCACTCCAAACACCCGATCTGACCCTTTCAACCTCTCTGAAACACCCAAAAAACCCAGAAAACCCAAGTTTCACCCTGAGAGCCTTCAAATCCACTGTTAAACCTGTCTGATACCAAGCCGATGGCCCCAATCGACCCCTACTTACACCTCAACCACTAGATCTGACACACCTTTAGACTCCGAACACACCAAAACACCTGCCCATGAAGTTTTAACCCTAGATTCCCTCATTTATTTCTCCGTCAAACCAAGATTCCACTCTGAAACATCCTATTGACCTAAATTCCCTCGATCTTGTCCCTCTAAGACTGATTAGACCTCATCATCAGATCCCAAACACCTCCAAATACTCACCTGCGAAATTTCATCCCAAAACACCATTATTTATCCCTCCATCGCACCAAGATTCTATTTTAAGGCTTCAAATTAACCGAATTAAACCCTTTCCAAATCTTCCTGATCCGGGTCCAATATGACCGATTTGAAATCACTAATCAACCCAAAATCCCCAAAAACCCCACCTTTCCAAATTTTAGCCAAAAATACCTACATTTACTCGTCCATATAAAAAATTTTCATTTCTACCGATCTCGCTAGCCCATAAACATAAACCCCCTCTTAGTCAGACCCATCTCAACCCTCCACCTTTCACCCAAAATCTCAGCCTCCCATCAGAACCCCGGTATTCCAAAATCATGAAAATACCCCTACCTCCCATATAGATTCGACATCAACTCTTTATTCGCCCTAATCAAGGAGAAAGATCCGAAGGAGAGACTATTCATCTCCCCCTTCGTTCGAACCCAACCCAGGCGGTAGTGAACCCAGATCGATTTCCATCTCCGGCTTCCCTCACCCACTTTCTTCTCCTTCTTCTTCCCCCATCCCCCATTTTTCTCTCTCTCCCTCTGTTTTGTCATCGCCACTGTAAATTAAGGCGGCAATAGATCTGAACCCGACTCCGCCTCTTTCGCCGATCTCTCGTTTTCTCTATATGTTCTTTTTTTTTTTCTCTTCTTCTTCTCGGAAACCCCCCAAAATTGACCATTCACCATCTCCTCCCTTCGAGTAACAGAGAGCGGCGACAACCTCTAATCTGGTTCTCTCTTTCTCTCGCTCTCATTCTCTTTTCTTCCTCTTCTCTATTCTTTGTCTACTACTTCTTCTTCTTCTTCTTTCAGAATTTATCGAAGCTCACTGCTAATCGTCTTTGACCTATGGAGGACGACGAGCACAAGATTCTCGGTAACAATGACAGCACACTTTTAAAGTGCCACCATCTTTGCTAATTTCCTCGGGTTATGATCTGGGACTGAAACCGAGTATGCTACCCTCTGTGTTCGTCGTTCACGAAGTCAAATTGAACGCCTAACACGTTTGATGTTCGACTCCCATTCTATACTGAAATTCGAAGCCCGTTTTCCTTTAGCAAATCTTTCCAGAGTAGTCCACTCAAGTTCGACTGAACCTCCCAGTTACAGCATCGATAGAATTCAGACCAAAGTCTCATCCGGAACCTTCCATCAACATTCAACATCGGCAAGGACAACTTAGGTAAGGATGAGTTAAACTCTCTCTGTTTTTTTTTTTTTTTTTTACAGTGAGGATTTGAGGTTGGGGAGTAGACCGATGGAGGAGGTTCCATTGGGCTTACTCCCGTAGATCTTATCCCCAACCCAATCCAACCTTATCTCTGTTGCCTGCTCGCAGCCTGAGTTCCTTTTCGAAATTTTCTCATTGATAGATCAATCTTTTCGTTGCTATTATGAATATTGATACTCCTTTTATTCAATTGATTATTATTTCTTTTGTTTTTTCTTTCTTTCTTTAGCTGATATGTTTTTCGGCTGTATTGAATGTTAATACTTATTTAGAGTTTGATCTATTTAGCTAGTAATGGATTAAATTGGCAAGATAGCTTATGTTGTTTTCCTTTACTTTCAATATTAATAATTGTGATTATGTTCCTTTCAAAACCCCATGCGGGGCCCACCTATCAGACCCGGGAGAGGAGTGCCTAACCCCTTCCCTCTCCCAACAGAGTCTTACTCGGACTCATTTGACCAGTGCCTTGGTCTTTGGAGTCACTATTTAGTAAAAACGATTTTGATGCCATTCTAGAAGGTCCCATCACCTTCGTTTTTTAACTGATGGGTGGCAACTCCATTTCCGTCCCAAGTGACAAGTGAGCCATTTTCCGATGCTCACAGATTGGCGACAACATTAGGGAATTTCCCGGACCATAGGTGGGGACCACATGGGTCCCATTTGACTTGATTGCCTCTTCTTGTTTATATGCAGGTTTCTTTTTTGCTTTCGTCTGTTAGAATAATAATTCTTCTTTTTCTGATGATTAGATATTTGTTTATTGCTTTATATCTATTATTGCTTGCCTGCCTATTCACATTTTGCACACACCATTTTGCATTAGTTTTATCATCCCATGTCCTATTAGGAAGGGGTCCTAAGTGGTAGATCATTGGGGCCTTGGTCCCAATAGTTGCACCAAATGCCCAAACCAATCACCAACCAAAGAAGCCCATTTGTTCGATGGGTAGAGCTTTGAAGATCGGCAACCTTGTTGGAGCCTAGAGTTTAGGTGTCAAACTCTTCCCTCATACATCACTGTCCATATGTCAATCTAGTCATTTAGGATGTTAGCCACCTCATCTTGGTTTGCTTTCTTACCCCTTGGGGGGCCTACATAAAAATATAAAAAATAAAAAAATAAAAAAAGATAAAATGTCAATGGTCTAATAAAACTAAAATAGAAGTCGAACAATAGGATATAATATATAGAAAATAAAAAATGATAAAATAAAAAGGGACATAAAAAAGAAGAAAAATAAAAATAAAATGAAAAAAAAATTCAAAAGAGGGATAGGAAGCTTAGGTACAAATATGCCTAGAAGACTATCAAAGAAAATAAAAATAAAAAATGAAAATAATCAAAATCCCAAAGAAATTTTAATTATAAATCAAATGAAAGGTCAAAAAAAACAACATATAATCACAAATCATAAAAAAAACAAATAAAAAGATAAAAAATAAATCAAAATTCCAAAACAAAAAATATATTAATCAAAATTCCAAAAAATTAAAAAGTCAAAAAATAAATCAAAAAAAGCAAAAGAAGCAAAACAAACAAAAAGGAGAAAAGGTATGATGATAAAAAGAAAAAGGGACAAGAAATTTTCAAAGCAAAAAATGATAAAAAATAATATAAAAATAAATTGAAAATAAAAGAGGATGAGAAAATCCATTGTTATGACTTAAATTTCTTGAAATTCATTTAAATCAACTAGAGTTTTGAATTGCACTAAGATCACATTATCAAATCAAAAGTAAAAAAAAAAAAAAGTAAAAAAAAAAGAAAGAAAAGAGAACAAAAAATTGGGAAAGAAAGAAAAATAAGAGGTTTAGGAGTGAGAGAAAGGGAATTGAGGAAGAAAGCTTGACCTTAGTGTGTGGAGCTAGACTAAAGTTTTGTAGCAATTCTACAAGTCTTGAATTACTGAAGCTGAACAAGGCTGCTAGTCCCTATTATCAGATCATGTTCTGCATGCCTAGCTGGGTTATGAGGCATCTTCCCCTTACTCTTGAAGGTGAAGGTTCAGAAGGTTACAAGAGCTGGTTGTTCAAGGGCCCTATTACTGGAAATTCATGGAGTTGGAGTAAGCTAGGGCATCTGGATGCGAGTAGTAACATTTTTTCTTGGAGCCATATCTTCTTCTAGTTTCAACCCGAAATGTAAAGGAATTCCTACTTGATGATGGTAGCTTTATCGAGAACTTAACTTTGATTGAACTAGTAGTTCTGGGAAATTCTTCTTAGATCTCTTCCACTAGAGCTTGACAACTTGAAGTGCTGGGAATTGCTATGCTTAAAAGATCCACGATCAGCCTCACTTATGGGGTTGGAATCAGCTTCTTTACCCCCACTTGAGACAAACTGTTTGTGAAGTCCAATCCCTGAGGGGAATTCCCCTATTCTACAGAGATCTGTCTGCTACATACCTTCCTCAGTGTTTGTACAAACTGGTTTTGAGAGGAATCCCATATGAGATATGCAGTACCAACTCCTTTATTGCACTGCTATTGGGGATGTGTGAGCCATTAATTTGGTACTATTTGGGAGGAATCTCTTTGATGAAACTCCAGGGCATTCAGTAGAGGTTGTCATTGATTACTCTGGAACTGTCATAGAACAAATTTTCTAGTGGCTGTCATGAGAAAACCTGGTGCATCATATCCCTACATACTTGGGGGAGAGAGACAAGGCTGGACCGGATGCTGGATAAGTGAGAATTACACATGTCAACTTCGATAGTTTTACCTGTTTTTTACCCAACTGTGGGTGTTAATCCTCAACCATCTATTGCACAACTACCTTGGTCATTGTAATTGATTCAACAACACCGACTTTGGGTGCTACTCCAGTGGCCACAGCCATTTAATCCAACTGTTTCCAGTTATTGACCAAGGCATTTTTGGGTCATCATCTATATTGTATACCCTGCTTAACTTATGTAGTAAGCAAAAAACTCACGCTTGCCCCTATGATGGTTGCTTGGGGATGGGACCAAATCCAAAACCTTTGGTTAAAACAAATAAGGCACTGGCAGAAGCTATTGGCAAAAGATGGTTGTTCACTATATCTATCACAGGAGTAAGATACATGGCATGGCATAGTTTCAAGACGTGCTTCTCACTGTGTTCATTGTTTGCATCTGCAGGCATGGAGCCCAAATTGTACACCACCAAATGCAGAAGCATGCATAGAACTGTCTGGGTGTAATGCAGAAAGTGTTCAAGATGCAGTAGCCCCCCAAGTTCGTTACCGGTTATTGATCAAGCCCCAAATTCATGTAATATGTCAAATTTTGGTTTTGGGGCCTGCTGGAAAAGGGATAATTTGAAGGAACATGACAACTAAACCACTTGGTCAATGATATGGGTGAGCATAACACCTATCCACAAGTTCATGATATTGGTCCTAGTAGTGCACTTCTCATTGATTCAGAGAGTCCCTAGCGTAACTAGCATACTTGGTCAAAGTGAATCACCAGGTCTACCTAATATTACAAAAGTGCAAATGTTGCATCCTTGTCTTCCCAGGTTCCTCAACTAGATCAGAAAATTATGAATTGGGACCGGTATTGCTCATGGTAAGAGGGGACAGTAATTTCAGCACATGGTTCCACATTGTGCAAGTATTGTTGCCTCGCATGCAGTCAGCTGATGACAAATTGGTTGACAATGCTCTGAATAGTACTCAAGTCGATATTGAAGTTTTGAAGATCTTGCAAATCCCACCGTTGCTGGCCAAAGCGAAGATATTCTTGATGTGGCATTAACTAGCCATAATGTCAATGCAAATCCCAATGTGTTTCATGGGGGGCTTACTTATAGAATTGAACCCTGTCCTTAAAAGGATGATAGTATTGAAGATCACCCTCGCATTGTGCCAGCAAGATTTGCTTCTGCACAGTATAATTATGTTGACGAACTGAATGTCAAGACATGACTCACGTTTCAGTGGATGTGAATTCCGATACTGTAGTTAAAGGTGTCAGGCACACTAGCAAAGTCTACTCGTTAAAAAACATAGGCATCTATTGATCTTGATCCTTCGGATCTTGGCAAGCATCATCAAGTTGTGGATCCGTAGAACACCCCTGCAGATGAAGATGGCACATTCTATAGTGGGGGACATTCCTATCTTCGAGCTTATGAGAAGCTAGAAGGCCTTTGAGATCAATTTGGAGCACCCAATCATCAAAGACATGAATGTTGCATATGAAACTAACCAGGCGGTCAAGACACATTGAGGGTTAATTATTCTCATGTATATCACAAACAAAAGAAAAAAACAAAAAATCATTAAGTCACAATAAAAAAAATCAACAAGAAAATAAAAGAAAAGGAAAAATTAATCAAAATTCAAAAATTATAGGACAAATGAAAAATAAAAAAAATATTAAAATAAAAATAAAAAGGTAACAAAAAATTCAAAATTCAAAATAATAAAAATTAAAAAAAAAAACATCAATTCAGATCAATCAACGAGTAAAAAATATATATATAAAAAAAAAGAGATAATAGATAAGTTAATAACTAAGTTGTAAAATGTGGGACTTGTATAGAGTGCTAACATGCAATAAAAAATAATAGAATACATAAAAATGTAAAAAATGATCAAATTTTCAAAAAACAAAATAATAAAAAAACAAAACAAACAACAAAAAAGTAAGACAAAAGTTCAAACACAAAAAAAGAAATAAAAGGAAGGAAATAAAAAATAAAAAAGGAGCAAAAAATAAAAACATAATAATAACAGAGAGTTAAAAATAATAATAAATAAAATAGGATAAAGGACAAATAATAATAACAAAGAAAGTTGAAGTTAAAAGGTGCAAAAGCTCAAAAAAAAACACAAAATAAAAATTTTAAAAAATCAAATCAAATCAAAAGTAAAAAAAAAAGGATATTTCAAAGACAGAGAGAGAGAGAGAGAGACAGTCAGTGATAGCAAAATAAAGAAAGAAGTAGTCGCTAATTGGGTTATGTTGACAGGAAAGCAACACCAATAATCCTCGGCCAATTCCTCATTAGATAATGACCAAATCAGTTATCGAGTTGTGCACAAAATCCTTGTCAAAATCTTGCAATCATTTCTCAACTAGCAAATCTGACTACTTTCTCCTTAATAGAGTCAAGGGTGTCAATCTTAGTTTCATTTTTTAACTACGTCTGACATGATCCCTTTCAAAGGGGTACATAGAGCAGCTCGTCTCATGGGTCCAACCACTTCCATAAATAGAATATCATTTCCCCCATTCCTCTTTTCCTTACTTGAGATGCTTACTTATGAGAGAGTGATTAGTTCGTTCAAGGCTGTCTACCTGCAGAAGAAGGCAATGTTTGCCTCTTCTCAAACACCCAATTTCCCAAAAGCATGCCTGAGGAAAGTTAGTTGTTGATCAATAGCTCTATAGTTGAACTTCTTTTGACCTCTCAACCCGTAATAAAACCATCATCTTTGTCCAAATTGGGGCAGAATTGCAACTGGCAAAGCATAACACTTTCCCTTTTTAATAATGCTTGAGCCAACATAGAACAAAGGTACCATCCTAACCTAGTGCTCTGTTGATTAACCAAAGAAAGGACTGGAGGCCATCCTCGGTCATTTCTCTTTCCATAATAATCCATTGAATTCACAAAAGTAGCTATTTAACTAGTTGTGCTTATGCATTAGACCTTTTTTTCAGAAAACTAGCCAAACCCACAAAATGCACCTCAGGGATCACCAAAGGGCTAAAAAAATAAATAAAAAAAAAAACAAAAACAAAAAGAGAAGAGAAATAAACAAAAAAAAGAAAGAGGAGAGAAAGAAGAAGAAGAATGCCAAAGGGTGCTTTGCTCAACATATACTATGCTCAATATATGCTTCTTTAATATGTGACGTGTAGTCAATAATGAAATGAATGGAGGCCATCCTTGGCGGCTTGTTTAACCTTGTGCATTCAGTCTTGATGATATGTAATAAAACCCCCTACTTGGCCCTTTAAGCCTTCCTATAAGCTTTTTCTTCACAATAAACACTTTCCAATGAGTGGGTGTCAAAATAGACAGAACGTGATTGGAGCAATCGAGCAAGAGTAAAAAAAAAAGAGAGAGAAAAGCAAAAAAAAAAAGGAACTTTTGGTAGTTTTGTTGATAATGAAATACTCAAATAAAGTGGGGCAGTTATTAAGGAAGATCAAGCAAAACCTGAATTGACAAACGAAGAATCAAGAAACAGTTAGAAGAAACTGGGGCAGTTAATATGATTTTATCAATACGGGAGCTCTTATGATGACACCCACATGCTAGTTTTGATTTTCCCAACTCATTTACATTTCATCCCAAAATAAAGTCATCCCTAATTAATAAGAAGACACGATTCATGTTGATGAAGAATATAAAGAGCAATCTCCATCCATATGGCTATGAATAGAGTCTCGATTAAAAAAAAAATCTAAAAACAAAGAAAAAGAGAGTGAGAGAAAAAAAAGGTTGTTGTTATAATGAATTCCTTGTTCAACAACTTAAAAATCTATCGTGCATGCTGTCGAACTCAATGAGTTTTAAGGGACGATCCTAAAGAGATGGTACACACTCTCATCTGATGTGAACCAGAAGTATCCCATTTGGACATAATCACTTTCATATGAGTTGAGGTTGAAGCCACTTTTGCCTTTGGATTTTGAAGTTTTTTCCTTCTTACCATTCCCATATTTCATGTTCTTGTGCATTGGTTAATATTTGAATACTTCTTGTACCACAGCTTGAGGAGATGTTTTAACCTTTTTAGTACATACCCAGTTTTTATATTGGCTTTACCATCACATCATATCATTTTGCTTACAATGTTGATTATTTTGCTCTTTCATGCAAACCATTACCCTATCTTCCAAAGATCCCTCCAAGTGTTTATCTCACACTTCGGTCATAATCTGATTGAAGATTTATTAGTTAAAGTATCTAAATCTCAATCTCATTGATGATATTCATGATGGTTTTCATTGGTCATGTCAGCCTCTATGCTTTGACTCGCGTCTGTCTTCCGTTGGTCATATCAGCCTCTATGCTTTGACCTGCGTCAGAAATTTCATTGGTTATGCCACCACTATGCTTTGGCTCACGTCAGAAATTCCATTGATCATGTCAGCCTTTATGCTTTAACTCACGTCAGAAATTCCATTGGTTATGTTAGCCTCTACGCTTTAACCCGCATTAGAAATTCTATTGGTTATGTAAGCCTCTATGCTTTGGCCCATGTCAAAAATTCCATTGGTCATGTTAGCCTATATGTTTTGACCCACGTCAGAAATCCCGCTGGTCATGTCAACCTCTATGCCTTAACCTACGTCTATCTTCCGTTGGTCATGCCAGTCTCTATGCTTTGACCCGCGTCAAAAATTTCGTTGGTCATGTCAGCCTCCATGCTTTGGCCTACGTTAGAAATTCCCATTGGTCATGTCAGCCTTTGTGATTTGGCCCGTTAGAAATTCCATTGGTCATGTCAGCCTTTATGCTTTGACCCGCGCCAGAAATTCTGTTGGCCATGTCAGCCTCTATGATTTGGCCTGCGTTAGAAATTCCATTGGTCATGTCAACTTCTATGCTTTAACCCACGTTAAAAATTTCGTTGGTTATATTAGCCTATATTCTTTGGCCCACGTCAGAAATTCCGTTGGTCATGTCAGCCTATATGCTTTGACCCATGTAAAAAAACTCTATTGGTCATGTCAACCTTTATACTTTGACCTGCGTCTATCTTCCGTTGGTCATGTTAGTCTCTATGCTTTGACCTACGTCAGAAATTTTGTTGGTCATGTCAAGCTCTATGCTTTGACCCACGTCAAAAAATCCCGTTGGTTATGTCGACCTCTATGCCTTGACTTATGTTAGAAATCCCGTTTGTAAATCTCCTTTCTTTGACCAACTTTAGTTTTAATTGAATAAATGGAGATGATATAAATGATAATAAAAAATTAAAGAAAAGAGAAAGAAAAGAAAAAATAGAAAAAATAAAAGAAAAAGGAGAAAAGAGAAAAGAATGAATGAAATGAATGATAAATAATATCTGAAACTCTTATTTTACATTGTGCTATATCAAGAAACAATTATTAAAATCTTTCAAAATGTTAAAAAAAAACTAACTAAACTAAAAACTAAAAAAAAGGAATGGTTATTGGTGTGCTTTGCAAGAATTTTGAACCTTTGTCTTAATGAATGATTTGTTCATCTCTGACATGTTTTTCTTAGTGATAGATTTACTTTGGTCCAGTTTTTCGCAGTTTTATCCCATACCCACTTTTAGTAGTTTTACCTCAGAACTAGTTTTCATTGACCCGCATCAGAAAATTCCGTTGGTTATGTCAGACTCTACACTTTGACATGCATCAAAAAATTCTATTGGTCATGCAAGCCTTTATGTTTTAACCCACGTTAGAAATTTTTGCAGTTTTATCCCATATCCAATTTTTGCAGTTTTACCTTGATTCCGTAAGGTTTCTAATACCTAGGAGGGGTCCTTTTTCAAAATGAATAGTTTTTATATTATCGATTGTTTTTATTGTTTTTTTTTACGACAATTATACCCTAATTATGAAGGTTCTTAATACCTAGGAAGGGTCACTTTGTTAATAATAAAATGGCCTGAACATGATGAAATGATGTTGCATGGGAACTCCTTTTCGTTTCAATCCTCCTTCCTTGTCTCGCCCCTCTTCCAAGCCTACCCTTTGCAAAAATATTTGTGTGCTTCTTTTGGTCTTTGTTGTTTCATAATTTCCTACCTCACAATAAAGAGGAGCAGTTGTCAGCACCTGTATTTTTGCTCGGTCCACTGCCCGAGCCTTAAATTCACCCCAAACACCCTTCCAACCTCTCCGAAACACCCAAAAACCCAGAAAAACCTAAGTTTCACCCCGAGAACCCTCAGATCCACTGTTAAACCTGTCCAATACCAACCCGATGGCCCCAATTGGCCCCTACTTACACCTCAACCACTAGATCTAACACACCTTTAGACTTCAGACACACCAAAACACCCATGAAGTTTCAACCCTAGATTCCCTCATTTATCCCTCTGTCAAACCAAGATTCCACTCCGAAACATCCCATTGACCCAAATTCCTATGATCCTTACCCTTTAAGATTGATTATACCTCATCATCAGATCCTAGACACCTCCAAATACCCCACCTTGCCAAATTTTAGCCAAAAATACACATATTTACCCGTCCATCTAAAACGATTCTGTTTTGGCCAATCTCACTAACCCATAGACACAAAACCCCTCTGTAGTCAGACCCATCTCAACCCTCCATCTTTGACCAAAAATCTCATGCACCCATCTAAAACCCCAGTTTGACCACCCTATGACCCGGTTTAGCCTAACTTGCAAAAATTTACCAAAATGCCTATCAGATTTTCCAAAATCATGAAAATGCCCCTTCCATATAAAGTCAACATCAACTCTTTATTTGCCCTAATCAAGGAGAAAGATCCAAAGGAGAGATTATTCATCTCCCCCTTCGTTCGAACCTAACCCAAGCGACGGTGATCCCAAATCGATTTCCATCACCGGCCTCCCTCACCCACTCTCTTATCCTTCTTCTTCCCCCTTCTCTCATCTCTCTCTCTCTCTCTCCCTCTGTTTCGTCGCCGCTGTAAATTGCAGCGGCGGTAGATTTGAACCCGGCTCCACCTCTTCCGCCGATCTCTCGCTCTCTCTTTATATTCTTTTTTTTTTTCTCTTCTTCTTCTGCTACTTCATCTTCTTTTTGGAAACCCCCCGAAATCGACCATTCGCCATCTCCTCCCTTCGAGTGACAGAGTGGCGACAACCTCTGATCTCGTTCTCTCTTTCTCTTAATCTCATTCTCTTTTCTTCCTCTTCTCTATTCTTTGTTTCTTCTTCGTCTTCTTCTTCTTCTTCTTCTTTCAGAATTTATTGGAGCTTACTGTTAATTGTCTCTGACCTGTGGAGGACGACGAGCACAAGATTCTCAGTAACCATGACACCACACTTTTGAAGTGCCACCATATTCGCCAATATCCTCGAGTTATGATTTGAGACTAAAACCGAGTATGCTACCCTCCGTGTTTATCGTTCACGAAGTGAAACAAACGCCGAACATGTTTGAAGTTCGACTCCCATTCTCAGCGTACTGAAATTCGAAGCCTGTTTTCCTTTATCAAATCTTTCCAGAGCAGTCCACTTAAGTTCGATTGAATCTCCCAGTTGCAGCATCAGCAGAATTCAGGCCAAAATTCCATTTGAAACCTTCTTTTATTCATCAATGTACAACATCGGTGAGGCCAACTTATGTAAGGATGAGCTAAACTCTATTTATTTATTTTTTGCAGTGAGGATTTGAGGTTGGGGAGTAGAACGATGGAGGAGGTTCCATTGGGCTTACTCCTGTAGATCTTATCCCCAACCCAATCCAACCTGATCTCTATTGCCTGCTCACAACCTGAGTTCCTTTTCGAAGTTTTCTCATTGTTAGATTAATCTTTTCGTTGCTATTATGAATATTGATACTCCTTTTATTCGATTGATTATTATTTCTTTTGTTTTTTCTTTCTTTCTTTAGCTGATATGTTTTTTGGTTGTATTGAATGTTAATGCTTATTTAGAGTTTGATCTATTTAGCTAGTAATGGATTAAATTGGCAAGATAGCTTATGTTGTTTTCTTTTACTTTCAATATTACTTTTATGCTTTCGTTAGATTAAATAATTGTGATTATGTTCCTTTCAAAACCCCATGTGGGGCTCACCTATCATACCTGGGAAAGGGTGCCTAACCCCTTCCCTCTCCCAACCAAGTTTTACCTGGACTCGTTGGACCAGTGCCTTGGGTTTTGGAGTCACTAATTAGAAATCATAATAAATTACAAGAATACCTAACCGATCAACCAAAACCCAACGCCAAACCTGACTTGAGTTAAAAAATCAAAACCTTAACCCCACCTTGCACAAGAATTAACCTGACCCTAAGCCAAAGTGGATTTATGGTTAAGCCAACCCATTAACATCTCCGAAGCCTTCGCCATGATTCGCCTGACATTTCTTACAATGTAGCTGTCATCTGTCATATTCATCCAATTCAATGCCTTATGACCTCTCTTTAGGCCTAGTTTGGGAAGACTGTAAATGTAAATATAAATATGAACGGCGTAAATACATATAAAATAATAAATATAAGAATACAAATACATTATACATTCAAAATAACACTAAACATAAGGTTTTGTACTCTCCATATATTTATATTTGTAGTAGTTGCAAACTGAGCTCTAAAAATAAACGGTCAAAAGGGGTAAGGGTCCATGGCACAGAGGACAAATATCGCCCGAAAAATAAAAAAGAAGACAACAGAGGACAAATATTGTTCCACGACACCAAAATACATGCAAGCCCAGAGCGATAGGTATCTGACTATCTGGACCGAATGGTCCATTTTTGGCATGTATGTATGATCTTTACGGGGCCCACCAATGAGTCGTGTGGAAGCTTGGATGCACGTACGGATCACATGCGATAATCCCGTGAATGCGACAAATGCAGCTCCCGAGCTCCGAACGTCGGAGCCGCCAGCCATCCGTCCGCAGTAGGAAACTCCAAGGGACAAGGCGTCTTGTCCCCTAACAACCTTTCACAACGTAATCTATCCACGTGTCACCTGTGGTCCCCACATAGCTCCATGCTCGTTATTCCTTTTGGGGCCCCCTAATCGCAACCGTTGAGTAAAAGCCGGGAAAACGCCTTATCCGACGGTCCAGACACAATCTCTCTCTCCCCCGCAAGCCCGCTTTAGCCTTTAGCTTTGTCTAATGCCCTTTTTGCCACGTACACCTCCTCTGGGGATATTTAAAATCCAAATTACGAACTTACCCCTCCATCCAAGTACTCGAGGCCCGGTCTTGTTTGACCATGGTTCGATGCTTGGTTCGGCCGTTCGGTTTGCTGAAGAATATTGACTGTGAGGGTGTTTTTGTCATTCCCGACAGTAAAAGCAATGATAACGAACCAAAAGATTCTCCGGCTTTTTGAACATTGACTTTAGAGAGAGGACTTGCTAAAATGTTAGCTATCAGATTAAAATAGCCACGATATATCATGGACCCACATCATTCCACATCACCATCTCCCACGTGGCAAGTTTCCTGTTATTTGAAGGGTCCCGGGTATGTGGATGGCCAAAATAATAGGCATGCAACGAGTCCTACATTTGATGAATAAATCTTTATTGTTGCATAAATTAATCTTTTAGCCTTAATGGGGACAACTTGTCTCTGCCGCAAAGGGTCGAGAGGGGTGATGTCAGATGGTCTGGTGGGGCATGCTGTTAAGTAGATTCCAATCTGACGGCATATAAATAGCTACCTTGTGATGCTCTCTTATTGAAACGAAGTCGCCACTAACGTGCGGTAGAAGTAGTGTATGGTTACACTCCAAATCAATCTGAAGCTTTATTAATACGTCAAGCATAGGCTCGTTTTTACGATTTTACCCTACTACAAACGGTATAGATAACAAAAATAAGAATCTTCTTTCATATTTTTAATGTGATAAGGGTGTTCTAGTCATTTCACAATATTATTAATGCTATTCTTTAATTTTCAATTCTACGCTCTTAAGCTGCGCTGAGAAGCTGAGAAGGTTGTACAAGGCGACATTCCGGGTTTCGAGCGAAACAGCTCTCTTTTTCTCTGCAACAAAATCCCAGAGTCCTTCAAGCTTCGTCTCCATATGAGAACAAATTAGGGTTTCGGAAGATTAGGGTTTCTTCCTCTGTTACTGCAATACCTGGTAATAATCTTCCTCTTTTCTTCATACTTTACTGTAGCAAGTTGACTTAGGGTTTCACAAGTGGAGTTCTTTTTGTATTTGTGTTGTTGGAATTTCCTGGAGTCCTTTAGGGTTATTGATTGAGTTTGAAGTTGTGGGTTCTTTGTCTTTTTATTTGCTGTAGTGTTTTTTTCAGTATTTTTGTTGTTTAGGCTCGCCCGGATTGGTGTTTGATTCATTCATTTCTTTGGAGTGAGGACTTGGTAGTTGGTTCATTGGTTACAACGGGCTTTCTGAGTTTGATTGAAGTTTTGAGGAAAACGACAGCTGTTAGTGCTTTCTATCCATGGGGAATTGGAGATTTTGTTATTTTAACATCGATGATTTTGACTGATATATGAAATGTAGCTCAAGTTGAAGTATATTGTGTAAGGAATCTTTGTTTGAAAAGTTTTTTTTAAACCTTGAGAAGGTTCATGTAATGTATGAATCCGGTAATGAGAAAATGCTAATCACTTTAAGGTTCTAGGGTAATAAAAAGACCTATAAAAGATACTCACGTCACGAGCTTGTGACAATGGAAAATATAGACTTAGTGGCAGTAATTTATATATTGGATTAAGCCCGACTTGAATAATATTTTGAACTTTGTGGTTCTTCAATGGGAGTCTATGATGGTTTCTGTCTTTTTGACACATTTATCTATGGTTTTCAGATTCAATGTTTGTTAGAAGTGGTTGTAGTATGTCAGAGAGTTAGACTGCTGATATTGGCAGCCTGTAGGCAGTTTCTTTGCTAAAAATTAAAATTAGTGTATGAGGCTCTGTTTCTAGTTCCATGTCTATGATGATACCATCTTATTTACTTGGAATATGCAGTTATACTTTGGCAGAAGTTTGTTCTAGAGTTGGGAGAGCTCGGCTGCTAACAAGCAGCTTATGTCTTTTAGTTAATCTGTTTCATTGCCTAGTGGTATGCTATTCTGTTTTTAGGTGCAGAGGTAGGTCAGTGACGAGGAAGGATGCTATTGCTGTCTCCTGTTCTCAGTTTGGATACTGATTATTCAGCTAAGGTTTGGGGTTCATATTAAAAACTTGGTTAAAATATTTTCCATATTGTGTGGATGAATTTGGTTGCATCTGCGATTAGTGAATGTCCCAAAGTTATTTTTAGTATTTCTGGTTCTCATCTGTGTGTGTGTGTGTTTAATTGAATTATTTAGAAGATCTTCAGTGGTGATTTTGGTTAATTAGTTCGCCGGGGTTTGGTATGTATGCCATGATCTGCCTGTCATTAGCCAGACGGTTTGATTTAGTTTCATTTTTTCACAGACTTCATATGTATTTCTGCTTTTACTCATTTTCAGTCTTCAGTTCCTTGTCCTTCCATGGGGATTTACATTTCCATGCATGCATATAAAGGGTCTAAACTCTAGATTAGAGTTTGGTTTTCTGGTTTAATTTGCTGAAGGCATGTACTTTCATGCTTTTGTTTTCTGTGGCAGTGCTCAGTGTATGCAGTGTCAAAGGTTTTTTTACTAGTTTTTAAATCTAAGATTGGGACCTCTGGTGAATTTTTCTGTGTACTACTAAAATCAAGAGGAAAAGCATCATAATCATCCATAATTCAGAGGCATACACCAAAAAAATTATAGCTTTCACTGAAAATGCAAATATCTCCTCTTTTTTGTTTTTTATTGTTAATGCTATCACCTCCATGCATACAAAGATGAGATGTATGGGGTTTTTTACGAGTACATTTACTTTAGCTAACGTGCTTGTATGATGTCTGTATGTGTTTTTTTTTTTTTTTCACTTGATCAGCAACATGAAAATTGATTCATTAATTAAAAAGAACATATACAACAAGAAGTTGTGGGCAGAAACAAGAACCCCAAGAAGAACTATCCCACTATCTACAAAATGGCCTAGAACATGGATTGCCTCTGAATTCCTTGTTTAGCTAAACCATCAGCCATACTGTTTGCAGATCTCCTAATCCACTTATTTGGATCATCATGTCTTCAGATATCTGTTTGAATGAAGTCTCTATGTGTTTATACCCACGTATATACCTATTACACAAATTTTTTATGCCTGTGATATTAAACTAAATAAAAGTAGAAGATTTTTCATAAAGAGGATCTCTAGGTGACCACTGATTGCCTAGGTGGTGGCTTGAATAACCAGTTGATTTGACATGCCGTTGACAAAACTGGTTTTTGAATGTGCAGCCTGTTCTTGGTGTTTTGGTGGTCTTAATTTTTTTTAGTTAGTTTCTTGTGTTGAAACTGGCTGTGGCTTTGCACGTCATATGTTAAGTTTGAAATAGCCAAGGCAATTTTCAGGAGAATATGTGAAATCTTTCTTTACTTTGAAAGGTCAGTCATCATTCTTCTAGGATGGCGACTGAGAATCCTATGAGATTTATTGAAAGTGGTGGAAGTAGAAAGTGGTCCTCGTCTAAGGATACTGTAGCAGTTGCATCATCATCAAAAAACATGGGAGCTGAGGAGTTGGGGTGGCTTCTGAAAGATCATTGTTATCTTGGAAATGTGAGGGATTCAGTTCCTAATCGAAGTGGAAGTGCACCACCAAGCATGGAAGGATCATTTGCAGCTATTGGGAACCTTATATCTCAAAGCTCCCCTCGTGATGTGAACTTGTCAAGTTTAAATAGTCATGTTGAAGACTGTGATTCCGAGGATCAACTCCGTGCTGATCCAGCATACTTGAAATACTACTGCTCCAATGTAAACTTGAATCCGAGGCTTCCTCCACCTCTTATCTCACGGGAGAACAGGCATATAGTACGCCATTTGGGTGTCTTTGGCAATAACTGGAGATTGACTTCTTTTGATGACAGTGTAAATGGATCTGTGCATTTCTCTCGAGGTGTCCTTTCTACTCATACGGAGGAGCCAGAGGATGATAAGTCACCTCGGCAGGCTTCTGCTGATTGGACCGGAAGTAGTGGTGGTCATTTACCTGGACAATGTGCAACTTCTTTGGCTGCTCGCCATAAGAGTTTGGTAGATCTAATACAGGTATGGAACTTAAAGTTGAGCCTGTCTGTACTATATGTTTTTGTATGCTGTATGAGCTTGTCATGTTCTCTGCATGTTATGGATTGAATAAGGTTACTCTGGATTCACTGCATTCCTTCATTTGTCAATGTTCATGTTTGACATGTATATGTCGTTGTTGGGATCTCTGGCTCCTATTGCTTCACCATATCTTGTTGACTGTTGATAGATGTATGGTGTAGTTTGATACTGCAGTACAGAATTACAAATGTTGAATGTAACTGCCAGATATAGGAATTTGTTTTGCTTGGTTCCAGGAAAATATACCACCTTGGTAGATTCTATTCTTTTATATGCATAATTTCTTCTTTCCTCTGTGTATTTGTTTGATTTTAAATGCCTGGTTTATATTTTGTATCATAATTGTAGGAAGACTTCCCCCGCACTCCCTCTCCTGTATATAATCAGTCCCGTTCTTCAAGCCATGCAGCAACAGGGGAAGCAGTCGACCAGGATATCCATGGCAATTCCTTGCATGATTCTTCAACTAATGCCACAAAGCTACCTGAGCTGAATTCTGGCTGTGTGGGCGTATGTGGTGGTACGCCTACTCTATGTGCACAGATGGTTGGTTCAAAATCAAATAGTGATTCTTCAACTGCTCCTGATCAGAACTCATCTCCTGATGGGATGGGAAGCCCAGGGCTTGTCCAAAAAGGAGAGTCAAGCAGTGTAGACATCCATTTAGAGGAAGATGTCTTAACTAGTGGTGTAACTGTTCCAAATATAACTAGTATTGCATCTGATATTAAAGGTCTTACTATTTCTAGCCTACCAAATGAAGAGGATCACAAAAACCATCGAGAATGGCGGCATTCTCAACATAATAATTCACAGCAGAACCATGTCCGCCCACAACGGGGCTCTTTGAATGCAGTTTGGGGGCCTCCATCTCATATGATTCCTCAAGGAATGAACCATCCTTATAGTGGTATGGACCAATTTTCTCATGTTCAGTCCAAGTTCTCTTCAGTTGAGGTACAACCAGTGATACAATCGTCCGGAGTTACACCTCCCCTGTATGCAACAGCAGCAGCATATATGGCTTCTGGGAATCCATTTTATCCTAACTTGCAACCTTCAGGCTTATTTGCTCCACAGTTTGGTTTAGGTGGATATGCTCTGAATACTGCTCTTATGCCTCCATTTATGGCTGGTTACCCTCCTCCTGGTGCTATTCCTATGGCAATTGATAGCACTGCTGGTCCAAGTCTTAATGCGCGAAATGCAGGTGTTTCAAATGGGGGAAATATTGCACCTGGAGTTGATCTGCAACATCTATACAAATTTTATGGACAGATGGGACTAACAGTGCAGCCTTCATTTACTGATCCTCTTTATATGCAATACTTTCAGCATCCTACTGATGATGCATATGGTTCTTCTGGCCAATATAATCCCCTTACATCTCCAGTAGGGGTTGTTGGAAGCCACGTAGATGCTTTTGATCCACAGAAAGGGTCTCCTGTTTCTGCTTATGCAGCTGACCCAAAATCTCAGTATCAAAGAAGTGGAGGTCCAAGTATCCCGTCCCCAAGAAAAGGGGGAATCACTAGCCCCAGTTATTATGGAAGCACCCCAAATATGGGTGTCTTGATGCAATTTCCAACCTCACCTCTTTCTAGTCCAGTACTGCCAGGGTCCCCAGTGGGTGGAGCAACACTTCCAGGAAGGAGAAACGAAATGAGATTTCCACCAGGTTCTAGTAGGAATGCTGGGTTATATTCTGGGTGGCAAGGACCAAGAGGAACTGATAAGTTTGATGATCCCAAGGCATATTCTTTTCTTGAGGAGCTGAAATCAAGTAAAGCTCGGAGGTTTGAGCTATCTGACATTGCTGGACGTATTGTTGAATTCAGGTAAAAATTTTAGCTTAGTTTCTCACCTAAGTTGCATGCTATTAGTTCCTATACGATTTCTAATTCGCAACTCAACTCAGCTCAGCCTTTACCCCAACTATTTGGGATCATCTATTTCCTATATAGTTTCTAACAAAAGAAACCAATAAATTGTGGGATGTTTTTAATTGCAGTGCTGATCAACATGGGAGTCGATTTATTCAGCAGAAGTTAGAACATTGTAGTACAGAAGAGAAGGCATCTGTTTTTAAAGAAGTCCTTCCACATTCTTCAAAATTAATGACTGATGTTTTTGGCAATTATGTTATTCAAAAGGTACAGTCTTAAAGGAATTAAATGCTTTCATTTGATTTTATCTTATTTATTCATCATTCTAATGCTTTTAAAATTGAACCAGACCTCAATTCATTGGAGCTGGGCTTTTTTTGATAGATAGATAAAAGAAATGAGGTTTTAAATAAAAAAAATTCATACTACCTGAGAAATTGCATGGTAGGGCAAAAATACAAAGCTATCCTTGCTGCCTCTTCCTTTGCTATAGCATCTAGCCATACATTATCAATCCCAGAGGCGCACCTGAATGTGCTATTTAGGTTGCATCTTAGAGGATTTGCCTGTCTAACTGAGGGCCTGTAGAACCAGGGTATTTCAATTTCTTGTCTCATCCAATTAGAGATAACAATCTGACACTTACTTTCTAGGGTTAAATCCGCCCATCCTTGCATTGTTACCAGTTTTGAGCCTTCAATAAGAGCTGATGTTCAGCATTCAATGAGTTGTTTTTCCCTAAAGGCTGGAGTCTCTAGGGAACAACAAATAGAGGGTAAATGACAGGTGATAACGATGTAACATCAACTAAACATTTGTGAGATCAGAATTATTGGCAGCAGTCTATGGAATAGAGAAAAAGAAATAGGGATTAATAAGCTGATTATTGAAGGTGATTCAAATGTAGTTGTGGGCTGGCTGAAAAAGGGGGAAGGAATCATATGGAAGCTAAGGAATGAATTCAGGAGATTCAAGCGGATTTCTGAAGACATGACGATCCAAATAAGGTGGGTTTGGATATCTGTAAACAGTTTGGCTGATGGTCTTGCAAAGCAAGGAACTCAAACAAATCTATGTTGTGGGCAAATAGTGAATAGTTTCTGTTTGGGCTTTGTTTTGTGTCCACAACTTTTTGTTATATCTCTACTTTTTAATTTGATGAATCAATTTTGTGTTGCTGATAAAAAAAATAACAACAATGAAATATTGGTGAAGATTGAAGCATTTTTTTTTCTGCTGATCAAGAAAAAAAAGATTGAAGCAAAAAATGACAGGTGATAAGTGGAACAGATTGGTGAAGATTGAAGCAAAAAAATTTCACACTTGAAGAGTTTAGAGTAGGGGGAAAGGCATCCCTGAAGATAAGGGAGTTGTGGAGGGCGGTGGTGTTACTACTTCTAGTGGGTGGAGAAATGGTCGCTTGGTTTAAGAGTTTGTTGATGAAGCTTCATTTGGGGATATTAATATCTAATCTGCTACAAGAGTTTACTGTGAGATTGGAAAAGGTGTGTAAACACAATGCAGCTGAGACTTTAAGCAAAGAACTTTTAAGTTCAAAAAAGGAGGTGGCTGCAAAAGTCTTTACTGTAATGAAAGGGGTTGGTAAAAGCAAGGTGGAGGCATAGTTTTCAAGGCGCCAAGGTGAGGCTAGGCGACCACAGGGTGCCCAGGCGCCTAGGTGTTGGAATTTTAAAATGTTAATTTTCTTGAGTTTTTACTTTATCTATGCTTTTCTAAGATATTTTATTGGTTTTGTGTGCTAACTAGCAAGCATTGCACTAACTATTAACTCTATAAATCATTCAAACGAGTATAAATTTCATATAACTAGAAAGCATGTACACTAACTAGGAAGCATGTACACTAACTATACACTAACTAGGAAGCATGTACACTAACTATACACTAACTAGCAAGCATGTACACTAACTATTAACTGAAAAAAAATAAGTGCAGAAACTAGGAAGGGAGGAGAGGAGTATATGGGCGGAAGAAGAAGAGGAAGAAGAAGAAGTATAGGGGATTAGGGGCAGGGAGGAGTATAGGCCCCTGTTTTTTCAATAAAAAAGGGACTGAGACTATCGACTGATAACAGTCAGGGGCGGAGAGGAGTATAGGGGCGGAGCCCCTGTTTTTTTCAAAAAAAAAGGGACTAAGACTAGGACTAGCGATTGAGAACCATCAGGGGCAGAAGAAGAAGAAGAATGAGTGGAGCTGTGGAGGAAGAGAGGAGTATAGGGGCGGAGCCCTTGTTTTTTCGGAAAAAAAGCAAAAAATGACTGAAGCTGAGAAGAAGAACTTACTTGCTGAAGCTGAGGTGCGATGGAGTTGGGTTGGGGCATGAAGTCTTTGGTTCTCCTCCCTCACCAATCAAACTGAAAAAACCCTTATGTTATGCATAAATAAAAGAAAAAAGGCTTTGTATTGTTGTCTTAATAATAAAATGATGGTGAGTTGATTTGTAACACTGGGCTTCTTCATTTACTAGAGTCTGTCTGTTTGGACCCCACTTCTTCTGATCAAAGAGTCTGGACTCCCCTTCCTAAAGGTGTTTTCACTTGTTCTTCTTTTCAAAAACCCCTCAGTTCCAACTCCATCTCCCAAGGGTTCCCCTTCAAAGAGATTTGGGCCCGACCTATCCCTGCAAAAATTGCTGTATTCTATTGGGAAGTCTACTACGGGAAAATCAATACCTTGGAAAATTTGCAGAAAAAGAGACCCTCCCTATGTCTCTCCCTGAATTGGTGTTTCTTGTGCAAGGCCCAGAATGAAGACTGCTTCCATTTGCTGATTTTCTGCTCCCTTGCTACAGACTTATGGAGTTGGAGCCTTAGTTTATTTGGAGGGAGGGGGTCTCCGTCAACTGAAGAGGCAAGTTCATGTGGAAATGTGTCAGGGCAGCAACCTTGGAAACTATGGGAGGAAAGGAATGCAAGAGTTTTCTTAGAGAAGGAAAGAAGATTAGAAGAAGTGAAGGATTGCATTCTAACAAGAGCAATACATTGGCTGAAAGCCTTGGAGATATTCGATGATTTGTGGAGGAATTGGTTAGTAATAGCTAATACTTCTACAAAGAAGAACAAACGCTTATCAGAATGGGATCCTCCGTCAGAAGATATAATCAAGTTAAATTTGATGGAAGCAACCAAGGTAACCCTGGGCCATCAGGTATTGGGGGTGTCCTGAGGAACAAGGACAACAACATCATCTCCTTATTCTCAGGACCGGTGGGAGTGGGGGACTCTACGAGGGCGGAAATACTAGTTGCAGTACAAGGAATTCAGATTGCTAACCAGCTTGGGGTAGAGCATCTCCTAGTTGAAGGGGACTCTCAGGTGGTAACAAGGTGGTTGCTTAGCCTGGATGCTACCATTTAGGGCTACAAAGAACTCATCAAAAAAGTAAGGTGGTTAACTAGGAACATGAGATTTGAGGTAAAATGGGTAAGTAGGTCAACTAATACTATGGCTGATTCTCTAGCTAAACAAGGGGTATCCAGGGAAGTCCTTTTTTGTGCTACTTTGTAAGTTGTTATAATATAGTGGAAGCTGTACTTAACTAACCAGGAGAGAGGTTGCATCTCGTGCCTCTCCTTGGGACATTGTACTATTCTCCTCTGCTGATTAATAAATCTTGTTCATTTATAAAAAAAAGAATAAAACATCTATTAAAATATCAAAATAATAAATTAAAAAAATTTCTTAGATGTATGTAGGCGCTTGCCTAGGCGCCCGCTTAAGTCTTTGGGCGGGCGCCTAGTATACAAACTCCGGGGCGTTTGGGCAAGGCAACCATGGAAAACTGCCTAGTTGCCTAGGCGTCGCCTTGACAACTATGGGTGGAGGTACAAGGTGGAAAGAAAAATTGGGAGAAGATGTTAATAGCAGAATTGAAAAAAGTTTTAGACTGGAGAAAAGTAGCACAAATGCAATAGTCAAGGGTTTGAACATGATGAGGACAATGATACTTGCACTGTTTGAAAAAAAGAAAAGCACTCATTGAGTTGGTGGATGAGGGTTTGGAGCTAGAAGCTGAAAATATAGCAGGATTAGATAAAGAGAGAGAGGGGAGGTAGAAAGCCTAGAAAGCTTAGCTAGATTGTTGGGTTGTGAGGTAGGAGATTGACCTTTACAGCACTAGGGACTTCCTTTGGGGGGAATCCGAATTCTGATAGCTGTTGGGATCCGGTAGTGGAAAGGTTCACAAAAAGGCTTGCAGGTTGGAAGAGAAACTACATCTCTCTAGGGTGTAGAATAACCCTAGTAAAGTCAACCTTGACTAATTTGTCAGTCTATTACCTCTCAAGCTTTAAGATCCCCACAAAAGTGGCCAATAAGTTGGAGAAACTGATGAGAAATTTCTTGTGGGAGCCTGGGGATACAAAATGATCATTTGGTAAAGTAGGAGGTGGTGTCAAGGAGTAGGGATAGGAAACACCAAGCTTAGGAAATTGGCACTGCTGGGTAAATGGTTGTGGAGGTTTCATTTCGAACAAGAGAATTTGTGGCACAATGTAATTGCAAGCATTCATGGCATGGCAAACAATAGATGGGATGTTGGTCTTGATCCTAGGGCAATACGGGCTTCTCCTTGGAAAGCAATTCACAGCTTGCTACCTTCTTTCCTTCCGATGCTCAGGTATGATGCTTGTGTTGGTAACGAAGTACGTTTTTGGGAGGATGTCTGGCTTGGGGACACTCCTTTTAAAGATAGATTTCCACCTATCTATTCCTTGTCCTTTAACAAAGGGAGAGTGATATCCTCCGTGCATGTTAAAGAAAACTCCTGGATCTAGGGCTAAGGGAATCTGAAATAGGCATAGTAGATGATCTTATCTCCTTTCTTAGTATTTGCTTTCCTGGATCCTTCTTGTCAGGATAGTCGAGTTTGGTCGGTGTCCCCTTCTGGCTCCTTGTGCTTAGTTTTTCTCCTCCCTCCTCCAATCCTCACACCTGGTAGGTTCTTTTCTTACAAAGGAAGTTTGGTGTAATCTTGTACCCACAAAAATAAGAGCCTTTTGCTGGGAGGTGGTGCTCTAGAAAATCAATACTTTAGATAATTTACAAAAAAGGAGGCTGAATCATTGCCTCTCTCCTCATGCTTGTTGCCTTTGCTTGGGAAATGGTGAGACAATTACACATATTTTACTATCTTGTCCCTTTGCTTCTTTTTGAGGAATTGGTTTTCTTCCTTATTTGGCTGTGGGTGGACCCATAGTTTTCAAGGTGCCAAGGTGAGGTTAGGCAACAGGGGGGCGCCTTGTTGCCTAGTTGGCGTTGCCTAGGTGATGGATTTTTTAAGTAAAAATCACATATCCTAAGGTAGTTCCCTAGGTTCCATAACCAACTTTCTTTAATAGCTATCCATAGTTTTCATAAGAAAATTATAAACTGCATGTTTAAGTATAGAAAATCAACATATTTATGAGAAGAAAAAGAAGAAAGGAAAGAAAATAAAAAAAAATATAGGGGCAGAATCCCTATTTTTGTTATAGGAAAAGAAGAAAAGAAAAATGTGTTGATTAGACAAAATTT